CAAATTAACAATAAAAAGTAATATTGAATTTTATCATAAAAATATTTAAATAGAAATTAAATTTAGAAAACTCGGAATACTTTTATTTTACTAAAAGCTCTTAAGTTGTAATAAAAATTTATTGAAAGCAGTAACGTAATCCACTGTTATACTGGTTAAAGTCTGCCACTAATTTGCCAAAATGTCCTTAAATCGCTAAACCTCCATATCATTTCTAAAAAGCCAGTTTTCGATAGTGCAGCTATCACACAAATGTATAACGGTTAACTGGATCTTTCTCTACGCATCATGCAAAGTTGTCTCCAGACACATTGATTGATCCTGAGCTCAATGTACTTTCAACAATATTAATAGCTTGTATAGATCAGATTCAGATCAACAAAAGCTTTGGTGTATTCAAAAGCTCATCAGGGCACTTTTAATTATTCAAATAGTCATAATTAAGTTTTCGAACTAGAGCCAAAGTAAATTTTTTAGTCATATCTTGAGATCTAATTTTCAAAAAATTTACCACAGGCGTTATGTGAATTATATCGAATTATTAATGTTGAGCTTTTGGATAATTATGTAAGATCTTTGCTATATTTTGATCAATTATCTTCTTGGAACAGTATATTCATTCTGAGGCTAAGCTTTGCTTAGTGAAAGCTCCGGCTTTATGACAGTTTTGCTAGCAGAAAAGCACTTTTTAGCAACTTTCTTTGTGAATCTGCTCTTGACGAGATTTTAGTCAAATGAAAAGGCTCAAATTATTAAGAGTTGTGTATATCTTATCGAAGAAGTGTTAAAGTTTGCCGTGGAAGCACAAATCTAGGCATAAATCGCTCTCTTTGCGTATTATTTAAAAAGAGTATTGTGATTCACAAAACGTTATGCATAAATATTTACATATATACCGACAACAACAGTATACGTACCGTTATTTGCAACGCCGTTATCAGCGCAAAGAGTTCAAAGCCTCTGACTAAGCGTATAGCATGCAAGCCATCCGATCAGTAACATATGGACCAGCACAACAACAACTTTCCATGTGTTAGTCATCATTGTTGTTGTAACTATTTTTACGCCCAGAAGAAAGTGCATTATCTGCAATTATTATTGTTTATTTTAAAAGGCAAGTGAGAAACAAGTAACGAAACAATAACAACACAAACGGATAACAACAACAAGCAATAATAGGCGCAGTGATAAGTGAAATTCCCACATAGCGCCAAGAGGCGGTGCATTGCACCCACTCTCGTGCGCGCTCTCTTTGTGCAAGACTCGGCATTATGACGTTGTACGCACCAGTTCGCACGCACTCTCTGCTTGGCATCTCGCTTACTCTCTCTCTCTCGCTCTTTCGTTTTAAAAGTCACAAAGTAACTGATACTAATAATTCGTTTTTCCACTTCTCCTCTATCCACCAAACTCAGTTGCTAAGCCACCTTGCACGCTTCGCGCGCTGCCCGCAAAACCGTGTTACTTGGCTGTCGTCTGCTAAACGCTGACGCTGCTGCTGTTGCATTTAAATGAGAAGCACAGCGACGCCATTCAGTCTGCACGTTTTCGTCGTTATCAGCCGGGATTAAGGCTGAAGGATTAAAGGTGCTTCAACTGTGATAAGGAGCATCAAGCAAATGCAAGAAGGGGAGCAGCAGCAGCAACAACTGCGTAGTACATACGTGTAGCACACATTTATATTTGGTGTCAGCAAATCAGCTGTCAAGCAGCAGCAAGCCTCAGTCCGCCATATTTGAGCTCACATAGGCTTCGGTCTCAAAGAGTGCTACCAACCCACCTGTGTCTTCAACGCTCAATGTGTCCGCGAAAGCGGTACTTTTAAGTGGATAATTTACTTTGCCTCATAAGCATATGCATAAATGCATATAAATAAGCGGAAGTTACTATAGTACGTGCTTGTGTGGTTGTGCTGCAGCCGGCGTCTGTGCATTGCTGGCAAATCTCGACGTTTCCGGTTTTTCTGCGTTGCAGTATTTATGAATCGAGCTGCAAAACGAGTTTGTGAAGGGGAGAGCTCTTCCAGCGAACATTTTCAGTGAACGGTGAGTTGGACCTTTGATTTTTCCGTATTTTCTGTGAAGTATGCCGCGAATTATTAAGGCTTAAAGTGCTCGGAAAGGAAAAATTTAATCAGTTTCATCAAAAAGTCAGCATGAAATCCAAAAAAAAGACCGCTGAAAACTCTCTGAGCCCGCTGGGACTATCTAATATTAAAAGTATGAGCGTAACTCGAATATACTATATAACCGACGAGGTTCAGTAATAACTTTTCAATAGCTTACCGCAGACTTCAAAATTTAAAACATAATTTCGACTCGTTAAGCTCCCTGATCAGTTAAAGTCTTGTAGAAGTTGGTACCTAGATGTTTCTATCTCAACTTTCTCTATACAACTTTGAGGATTTTCGATACGTTTTGTCTCCTTACCACATGAATGCCTTTTGAACAAAGTTTGGTGAGATTTTCGATGATTGTGAGTAGATGAACCTTGTTAAGTGCAAGCAGTTCAGTGAATCTCCTGCTTTTTACTCTAGGCAAGAAGGATATCCTAGTTGCAGAAAACCAATTTATCAATAACTGCTAAGCTCTGAAGTCCATAGGTCCAGCGTTCGACTTCAAGAGAATAACATACGCTCAACTCATTCCTAATTCGATGTAATTGGGATGTACCTCCTGCGAGCTTATCGGCTTTGTATTTTTCAATAGTTCGAAAAAATTAAAATCGAACTTTTACTAGCAGTATCCAGAAATCGACTCAAGTATCTAAGAGCTTTGTAGTTTAAAGGACTGGACGAAATACATTATCAAGTCGCTCTTAAAGTACGCAAAAAAGTTCATATCTTGTATGACGAATTCTTCACCTCAAATTAAACTGAACTTCTATCCGGCATTAGTACCAATAGGCCTATGCGTGGCGTATAACCTAACTTTTACTTTATCTTCTACTTGCATAAATTTCGGGCTCTTACACTGAAGTCAAATAGTCTAGTTCGAAAATTCCGTTTTGATTTTAAACTCATGAAATTTTGTTTTACGATCGAATTATACTTAGTTGTAATGTTATCCGACAGACTGGAGAAAATCCTACGAATGGCTGATAGGTAAAAATACGGTTCCATTTCGGTTAAGTTGATCCGACTGTCCTAGATAAAATGCTGCTATTTTTAAGTAGCTCAGTAAAACACTCATTGTGGGGTAAAAAAACTAAACGTAAAAATCTTCAGTCTTTCCAAATTTTATATGTATCGATTTTTTTCGAGTCGTCTACAGCCATCTTAAGGCTCATTCATATAATCTCCATTGGAAATATACTTTTGGCACACATTTGTTGTTAACTCTTTGTCATTAAAGGAAACAAAAAAAAAACTATCTGTGAGCGTTCTCATAATTTTGCACATTTTCAACAACATTCAGGGCATTCACTAATAAACTTCAGGCGAAGAAGAGGAAGCGAAAACTGTGTCACTTGCATTATAATCTCAATGAAATGGCTCGAACAATGGCATAATAGAAACAAATGATGGCAAAATGTAGACAAAGGTGACGGTGGCAAAAAAGAAGCGAAAATAGAAAATGAGAAAAGCACAAAATAAAAACACTAATAAAAGCAAAATAGACGAAAGAGCAAGAAAAAAAAAATCACGAGAATCGGTTGCCGAGTAAAAAGTCAGTACCAAATAAGTAAATACAGCCACCAGCTGCCTGTCTGCTGGGCACTGCCGACAGCAGGCGGCGTCAGTAGTCCATTCAATGCTGTCGCCGCCATTGATTTTTCTTACGGG